TGATTTCAACGAAAACGGCTACCTCGCTACAATGATAGTACTGGTTCTCCGTATGTAGAACTTCTGTACCGTACCTACAGATGTAGCAAAATGCGTTGAGATTCATTTTGAAGTAATGCGGTCGCGAAAGATGGACGGACATACGCGCTGTAGCTACTACCGGTAGGTAGCATATCCAGATCAAATTAACTGTAAATATAATCAAACTTGTCGAGACAGAGATACCTGCAACCGTGTCGCATGTATCATAGCAGTAAATGAAGATACCGCGTCTTCTGTAACTGGAATACACCACTATCGTGTATGATACAATAACTCCGAGACATCGTAATGATGACGACACCACAGAAACTGTCAGCACAACCACGGATGACGTACAGACCATACTGGTCCATCAGCACTCATAGGCATAACTTCTTCTTTACTTTAGTGTATGCTTCATGCTTACTACTGGAGTCCCATAGAGGTTCCCTGACAGGTTATGAGCCCCTAGAGACCGATCACCGTACCATTGTGAACGGCACCAGTTGAAAATTGATTGAGTTTGCCCCATTGCTGCTGCTGATTCGCCGGTGGAGCGCCGGGACCATCCTCTCTCGATTTTTCGACGACCTCTACGTGCTGCCCAGTACACTTTCTACGAGTCATTTTTTGTAAACGAGTGACAACACTAGTGCTCGCGTCATCTTTTGACCGTATAAAGCCGTACTCGGACATTTCCTTACTACAGCTATAACACCCATTCCTTTCTGCATCTACCTCCCTACCTTCTACTTTTCTTGTCGCTGCATCTCTGTGGTACGACAGGCCTGAAATCCCATTTTCATCGACACCACAGTCCTTTTTTTTTCTTGTCTCTCGACAACTTGAACATCGACCGCGCTGCGCGTACTCGTGACTGAAACTCGAGTCCGGTGGCACAATCGAACTCACTCCCCTCTACCATGCCTTCGATGATACCATCTACCCTTGCAACCCTATTCGCCCTTGTTGGCCACTACTGCTTGCCTGCTACAGCTTCGCCTACGGTGTTCTTTATTCCGTTCCTGCCACTTTCTGGCTTCACATTTTGCTCTACTACTGTATTTTCTCGCCACTTCCGATATTTCCATCGCCCACGGAAGCGGCAGAAACACACTCATCAACGTCATGCCCGCCGACTTATTGGACACCATGATCTTGTCCTTCCGCCATCCTCTTCTGTCCTTTCTTGTAATTCCAAATCTAAAGATTTGAAATCAGGGGAGGGTGTCAGCACAACCACGGATGACGTACAGACCATACTGGTCCATCAGCACTCATAGGCATAACTTCTTCTTTACTTTAGTGTATGCTTCATGCTTACTACTGGAGTCCCATAGAGGTTCCCTGACAGAAACAACTGACTGTGACAGCATAATTCAGGTTACCTCCCTTCTTTTCTTCACATCCTTCTATAGTAGTAGGTTGTCCATCAGATTGTCCCACACGTCTAAAAATATGGTATCCCTTTCCAACAAACCAAGCTTCCCGCTGTTCATGCTTCTCCTTGGCAGCATGATTCTATCTGTGTTAACGTTCCAATCGACAGTTTCGATTTCTGTTGATCGTGAACGAACGGCAAATGCGTCGACAATGTCCAGAGTATACACTTCGAGTAAGTCGTCAACGCTTTTTGCCCAAATAAGCCAACAGGAAGCTCAAAAGGCCATCGATAAAGTGGTACAAGCTCTTCGAAAGGATTCGGCTGCCAATCAAGAGCTGGGCAAATTGCAAAAAGTAACCACCGTGCTGGGTTTCGGCAGCCCCCAACCCGAAACGGTAGCCGTCCGATTCAATGCCTCGTTTCAAAAGTCCGGATTTGGTCGTTCTTCGGTGCCTCTACCGTTTGGTCTCGGCCAGTCCAACAAAAGTGAGGGACGGGGCACAATGGTGGGACAAGTCAAAGCCTCGGTCAACCAGAAAACGGGGAAAATCGTTAGTGTATCCGTCTTTCGGGATTTGGGATACGGACGATCCTTTAATCTAAAAGTATAGTACTGATCTTGAGAGAGCAAACGAAATCTACACTCAAGGGTGGTAGGAGATGCACTACAAGGAACCAGACAGCAAGATCAACACAACACCTGTTGACTCAGTAGTTATGGATAATTGACGACTTACTGTAAGTAGGAAAAGAGTGACCACAGGCAACATCTTCAATCTCGGAGATGGAACCGGTCTTAGGTACCAGCCTAGGCACAATTTGCACAACAATTGGACACAAAAAATCATTCTTGCCACAGTGCCTCGTGACAGGCACGGCCAACCAAAACATTGGACACTTCTGCTTCTGCACACTGAGAAATGCTACTAGCCATATTATTTGTTGACTCTCTTCACCGTATCATATCACTGAGTTGTAGTATTATTGTCACTTGATGATTTTCTGCAAAAGGTTATCACCAGTAGTCGTACTACGACGTACTACGACGTACTCCGAGTAGCGAGTACCGGTAGGTATCTTACTACCGGTAACTGTACGTCGTAAGTGGTATTCCACTCTCGTTTTGACCACCCTCTACTAGCATACTAGTCTACCGTAGTAGGTATTATTGCCGTTATTATTACCGTATTACGACTACTACCTACCGTAGACCTAGTAGTAGAGCTAGCTCTCTAGTAGCTTTCACAGTGTGTAGTATGAATAAAATTTGAAAAAGGCCTATAAGATCGATTGATTCGAATACCAATTCATCCATCATTCGTATGCATACACGACGTACGTAGTAATTGTAAGTCACAAATCACCCTCTCAAAGTCAATAAACAAGGTGCAGATTGGTTTTGATTTTTCACCACAGAATCTGTCACACCAACATGAAAACATCTAACCATCTTTGCATTGTAGTGTTGGGAACGCTTCTCATTCTCATCACGAAGGCTGCCTCGTTTTCGGCTGCCTATAAGTTGGTAGAAAAATCGACGACACGATACCATAACCAGAGGATCCGTTCCTTCGGTGGTGAAATTGGCCATTTCCGAGTGACAAAGCCGAAATTTCGTTCTACAAGGCTTTCAGTTGGAGTGTCGGGTGGTGATGGGAACAACGAAAGTGACAAAAAAGTAGAACTGGGCAGTGCTGCCCTCGTGAAAGGACGTTTCACTTTATGTGTTGTCGCTTTGCTCTATGGAACCTTGAACGTATCGTTACGATTAATCTATCAACTACCGGAACCCCCGACCGCATCTGCACTTAGTGCTGCTAGAGGAGTTCTAGCATGTGTCGGATTCTTGCCACTCTTATTGGTTGGACGCCAACCAGATGCAAACAGTAAAGCAGACGAATCCATTTCAGACGGTGAACCCGCAGAATCGTCGTCATCTCAGATCGCACCGTTCCTTTGGGCAGGTTTCGAACTGGCATTCTACAATTTCTTGGCTCAAGGGCTTTTAAACATTGGCCTCCTATCGACATCATCCGCAAGGGCCTCCTTTTTGACCCAAACAAGTGTTGTCTTTACACCAGTCCTGAGTCGCATTTTTGGTCAAAGAGTGCCGTCCAACGTTTGGATTGCATGTGGTTTGGCGTTGGTGGGCTTGACGGTCCTTTCCTCGGCTGCGACAACCACAACAGCCTTAGGGTCATATTTGTCGTCTCCCGTCAGCTTCACGACGGGAGATTGCTTAGTGTTGGGTGGGGCTGTCTCCTGGTCACTGTATTTATATCGTTTGTCCAAGCTTGGACCGAAATTCGACGAGGTTAATCTGCAATTCGTCAAGTCTATCATGTTGGCTGTACTGTATGCTGTGTGGTTGGTAGTAACCATAGTCACAAGCGAAGGAATTGCGGCAGATGCGTTCATGACGGTTTTTGTCTCACAGCCCTTCGGTTGGTTACTCAACGGTGCAGCCTTCCTGACGATCCTTTACAGTGCCGTTGGACCAGGGACAGTTGCCGACGTCCTTCAGCAACAAGGGCAGAAGGAAGTATCGGCAAGCGAAGCAAATGTAATCCTCTCTTTAGAGCCTGTGTTCACAGCGCTATGTGCTTGGGCGATTTTGGGGGAACTGACGTCGTTTCGTGAGGCAATCGGAGGAGCAATCATTTTGGCAGCTGCCTCAGTAGCAACTAGATGACAAGGAAAGGGAAAATGGAGAATCATCTTTAGAAGCAATCATAAACGTAATACGAAAGGATTGTCGTCGTCTCAACTTATCAAGAATATGACTTAGAAGTTATTTTTCATCTGCAGATACCGGAGCAGTCTGCTTCCACAGGAAGCAACATTTTTTCCACTGCAGGACACTTCTCTCAAAGGCAACTTCTAGCTAATATTGGTAACTGAAAACCGAACCACTCATAACTGCGACGGCCAAAAACGTTTTGTGGATCCCTCTGATCGCTCGGATATGTTCGTTCCCGCAGAAAGTCGATAATACTAGTTGTATGATCTACTAGTAAAAGAGTGAAAAAGTAATAGTACTACAGTAGTAAAAGCAAGATATGTGCTTTTCCGGGGTACAACCATTATTTCGACAGATAGAAAAATCTTAATGCATGTAGTACAGCACTTTGCTATCCAAGACTGGAAAGATGCTGGTGACATTGTTGTACAGCAGCACTTTGCTATCCAAGACTGGAAAGATGCTGGTGACATTGTATCATACTTTGCCACATACCTGGTTCCAATAACCCGTCCGATGATCTCACTAAAGCCACTTGGTTGGGTGCTCCATCAACGTCATGCCCGCCGAGTTGTCCTTTCTTGTAATTCCAAATCTAATAAAGATTTGAAATCAGGGGAGGGTGTCAACACAACCACGGATGACGTACAGACCATACTGGTCCATCAGCACTCATAGTAGGCATAACTTCTTCTTTACTTTACAGTTAGTAGTGTATGTTTCATGCTTACTTAACTACTGGAGTCCCATAGAGGTTCCCTGACAGGTCATGAGACCAGGGTCAGGGTTGGGGTTTTACCTACAGGCACTCACAAAATTGCATCAACCTTCAAGACAATAAAAAAATCATAGTTCAGCCCATTCGCCGGATTGAACGACGGACCTTTTGATTACAAGTCAAATGCTCTGCCACTGAGCTAAATGGGCAACCAATAAATTGACACGTATTGCTCAAATTATTTGGTCTATAAGCTCAAATCAAATGGATCTAAAGGTTTTCTTAGCACAAGACACATCTAATAAAAATAGAATTACTTTCAGTAAAACAATTAGTATAACAATGTACAATACATGATGTAGCTCTAGCTAGCTCAATTTGCCTCCTCACCGTCAATTATTACACATCCTAATAATAAGGCCTAACTGAAAACTTTAAAGTTTGGGATGATGTTATGACTTCTGCTAAGTATCATATCTCAATTATTAACATTACTTCCAGAAATGGCAGTTACCACTTTTTGTTTGTCCCCAGCTAAAAAAGTCTTTGATTGATGAAACTACTGATCCTACTAACATCCAATAAAATGCATGTTTTGATCAAACCTCATACATATCACTCCCAGTGTATGGCCTTAGTTGTGGGAAACCACCTGCTGATTCTGATGATTGTGATGGTGCACCTCCCCCTTTCATATCTGACTTGGATGCCTTAAGTAGAGGTGCAGACATGCTAATGACTGAGCCTCCTGTCAGGGATTGGTCTTCAGCTATTGGTGAGATGCTGTATGCAAGCCATTGGAGTTCTTCCTCTTCTGAAAGTGCAGTCAACGACGTTTCACGAAATTGATGGAGTTTCACTGCTGCTTTGGTGTTTGGGGTCAAGTTGCTTAGACTTGCGGCATCATCAAGGGACGATATCTTTGGTTTCTCGGCATTGTTCTGTCTGCAGCAATTTAACTTCGAAAACAACCCACGAACTCCCGGCTTTGCGGCTGGAATGGAGCACTCACTCCCAGCTTCACGAAACAAGGTCCGTACTGTTGGATCAAACTTATCTCTGCTTTGTCCAGTCGTATTGTATTTGCGAGTGGAGGCGTTGTCGTCGATATTTATCTCGATAACTGACCTTGGGGATGGAGGGTTCGCATCATGTTGCAATGATGCGATGATGTTCATGACATCCTGATGGTCCTCAGAGATGGATCCCAAGGAAGAAAGTCCATCGTCTTGACTACGAGTGGACGAGAGATGATTAATGTTGACGTTCTTTTCAAAGGGTGGAACAAACGACACAAACTGTACGGCGTGGTGATGATCAAGAATACCCTCTGGAATATATGTTCTCTCTTGAGCCTTTTTGCTCAGAAGAAGAGGCGAATCTTCAATTGCTCCACTGGGTTTTGATCCATTGGGTCCTCCCGTTGCCGACCCGTTTGGACTGATCACACCAATGCTCTTTAAATGTCGAATGATCGTTCCTGCAAAGGCAATGCTGCAATAAAGAAATAAAAGAACAAAATCAATCATCTTTTAGTAACACCAACGTTTCTTGTTGATGGTCATCATCAACACACTCGACTCCACTTACGTCACTTTGGCTGTCATTGCCCACGGTTTGGCCACGAGTATTTCATACGGCTGCACATCGTACTTCACGAGTCGGATGATATTGATGAGTTGGGTGAATCGATGCCCCCGTACTTGAAAAATCCCGTCGTAAGCCTGTTTCCACTGCGTTGGCTTTTGTTGGATTGTTTGGTTGGATTGCAAATGCCGGAGGTGGTGTTGAGGTTGATCTTGTGCCAGGTTCTTTTGTAGAGACTGCATCAAATCTCGAACGGAATCCAACGCCCGATCGACCCATATTTGCATCAACTCGTAACAATGCCGCTGTGGATCCATCAACAAGATCAAGATGGGAATGCGATTGTGCTGTTGCACCGCTGTTGTCATCTGAAATCGGTCCAGGCCCAGAGCTGTTTGCAAGCTATCGAAGATCTCCACGACATCGTTCTGCGCTACCCAGATACTTGTTCCTTGGAATTTGTTGCTATTCCCACTTTCGCCATTGTCGCCACAATCTTTGCGTTTCTTGGCAGCGTCATTCCTATCGTTCTGCGTCACTGCCACGGATGGCGGTTGTGGGGATAAGCAATAGGCCTGTCTCCACGGTTGTTGAAAGGTTTTGGGATCAAAGATTTGGCCTGGTACCGACGAAGCTCGTGTTCCGCCACTGAGTCCACTCAAATCGGAAACATCTCGGGAGAGGGCAACGGACGGCATGTACACACTGCTCGGGGTCGCTCCCGAATTGGCAGCACTCATGCTCGACATGCTACAATGATCATCGAGCTGTTGTTGTTGCTGCTGCTGCTGCTGCAGCTTCAGCTTCTGTTGATAACGAGGAGATCGCATGAATTGCATCTTTTGTGTTGGTGGCCGGGGAGGATGGCCATTATCCGCGCGTGGGGGCAAACCATGACGACTTGGACTTAGGTGATTTCTGCTGCTGGCGCTCAACGTAACACTAGCAGTTGGAGGAGTAGAGTGATGCCGAGCCTGTGGTTGTCCATGACGTCCTCTCACGGGAGATCCGGTTGGGTTTGTCTTTAGATGTGGAGGCATCCTGACGATGGTTTATTTTCCTTCTCTCTAATAAGCAGTAACCGCAGCGTCAAAATTCGTTTCTAGCTCCTTTCTTGCCTCAACACTTTTTTCTTCGGTCAACAACAGGCTATAGGGATGATGAGAAAGCAAATATAACGTGTAATTGGTATTGGAGGAGGTGTTGTCGTCAACTACCGGTACTGTGTTACCATTGTTTCCTTTTCACATGATGGATCTGCGATAACTGTCGTAGTGGTGGACGGACAAATATGCGATACAGAACGGCACGACAAGCTGGCAACCGCCGTATTATCGACGATTGTATTTCACCTGCAGACACAATGTAAGAAGTAACACACAATGTTTGTCGGACGAGAAATTTATACTCCGAGTATAACGCCAACAAAGTAGGCTTTGGTCGGAAGTTGAACGGACATCCATTGGAAGAAGCACATGAATACTTAGGTTAAAATCAAAAGAAGACGGCAGTTTTTCTCCTCTAGAGTTCAGGATGGTTGCTTACAACTGACTGTGAAGAGTTTGACTCTCATAGTCTAGTCTCATGGAGTCCATCAACATGACATCATAGTTTCTTTCTTACGGAGTATAACTTTCTGCATTATCTAGCTAGCTACCATCTTGGCCATGGGAGACAAATTGCTGTTCGACTGAACTTCATTTCAATTTGTAGTACACCAAGACAAACAACGAAATTGCAACGGAGGCAGTCCTTTTCATTATTTTTGGTGTCCCATTGCTCTACGAACTGCGACGCCTGGCATAAGACGGCTCGATATCATAACCGCGACTCGGAGGCTGCTGCTTCTGGTATTCATCGTAAGAGCGCTTGCGGGAAGTATCTTCTTCTTCTCGAAAAGCCGCTTGCACTTCAGGATCTTCACGGACAGCACGGAAATCTGCCGACAAGTCTTGGCGACGCCCAGCACCACCAGATGAGTGGCCATAATGGCCAGGAGAAGCGCTCGGATGAATACCAGGTCCACGGTAGTCTCGATCACCGCCACGTTGAGAGAAACGTTCCTCGCGATCAGCATGTGAAATTCTTGGGCGAGAACTATTACCCGGCCTTTCAAAATTAGCGCTGTGCCGATCGTTGCTTTGATAGGGACTTCTACTATCATCGTAGCCTCGAATCGACCTGGCACTACCTCTAGGATCGTAATCCCGGTGACTTCCACGTCTTTCAGCATAATCAACAGGATTATCGCGTCTGTCAGTATCCTCGTATCCCAACCTTTCGTCATGATAATCACGATTGCCGGCTCGCCGAAAGTTCAAGTCTCCTCCCGATCTTTCTCCTGATCGTTCTCGGTAAGGAGCCGCTTTACGATCATCCTCGTATTCCCGCCAACGTTCCATATCTCTTGGCCCCCTCCGTAAGTCCCTGTCCTGTTCTGTGCCGTAAAAGCCAGGTCTCCCTTGACTAAGGTCACGGCCATCCCTGGGTGAAACATAGGAGGAACTTCTTCTGGCAGTAGGCGGATCATGAGATACGACTTCCTCGAAATGTTGCATTGGCAACGCATCTCTCTCAGTCTCCCTGATAGCATCACTGGGATTGTATGGAGTTACAGGGTCACCGTCACGGATGAAAGTGCCTGGCGGTCCTTCGCCGGGACGAGCTGGACGAAATCTTGGCCGCACTTGTTGCGGAACATCAGGGAATTTGTTGGAGGTAGTTTCTTCCTCTTTGAAGCGGGTGTATCCTTCAATATCAAACCGGATTTTTCCACCGTTCCGACGAACTTCATCGATTAACGCGGCCTTATCAATGTGGATACGACCCTTGTTCGGTTGCGGTGCCTCCTTGATATTCATGTATTTTAGCATGGCACGGACACGCAGTCTCATGCCATCGTCATTCATTCGAGCTCCACGGGAACGCGTCTTTCCATATCCTGTTACGATCGAAATGCTTTGGACTGCTTCCAATTTCGAAGTGTTCACAAGATACGGAACCAAACACTCTTCAAACCACCAGCCTAGAGCAATCTCGCCTCCACCCAGAGAGAGGAAATGAAGATCCAATTCTAGCCATTGTGACCCCAACCGAGAAACTCTAGCGTAAAAACCTCTTTCCACGCCCTCTTTGAACAGAGTACGGCCAAGTTCAATTTGGGAGGAAACAGCATCCAGGACCGCATTGAATGTCACGACATCCCTTGCAACCCTTGCTTCATCCATTTCCTTGAAGAGCTCGTAGCCTTTCTCCCATAAGTTGCAACGAGCACATGCACTGATGGCACTGTTATAGATGTGGACATTCGGAGCCACGTCTTCCAGCTTCATCCGCTCCATTAGCTGAAACGCAATGTCAGCACGACACGACTTCTCCATGCAGGACATCGCAGCTCCGAAAATGATGACATTCTTCTTGATTCCCATTTCTGTCATTTCGTCGAGATATTCCAAGCATTGGCGGTATTGCATGCCTTTTTCGCAAGCACTTATGGCACTACCATAGCTTACAACCGTCACGGGCATGTTTTTCATCTTCATCTCATCGAAGAGATCCAACGCACGTTCCCATTGCAATCCTTTTTCCAAAGCCGTCCTAAATATTCACGGGAAAAAAGAAG